GGCCGCGCGGGGCTGGGGGAGAGGAAGAGGAGGGAAAACAGGTAAAGGGTTGGTCACGTATCGCCCAGGATCCCGCTGCCGGCGCTCCCGGTGGGATCCAGAGGGAGGGATCTCCCCCTCTAACGTGACCGGCCCTTGCGGGCAGGTGAGGACGGACCGGCCGAGCCCCAGCCCCGGGGAGTGCGCTTTCCAGGGCGGTAATTACCGTGCAGTGGTACCTTATTAGCAGAAACGTTTCGGCGTTTCTTAAGGCTCCCAGAGCATCAGCCTAAAATCCTGATTTTCTTTGTTTTTGGTCATTACCAAGCTGGTGGCTCTGTGTGCTTCTGGTTATAGTCAAGTGCCCGGATAATTGTGGATAAGGACTAGTTGTAGATGCCCGCAGTAGAGCAGGGATGCCCCTGGAGCAGCCGCGGAAGCTTCTGGAGGAGCAGTGGGAGCTCCCCGCGCGCCTGGTGCTTCAGCGTGAGTACCCGGGGAGATGCCCGCCCGGCAGCTCCGCGCTGGATTTCCCTGTGCCGGAGCCCGCCGCATCCGCCCTCCCCGGGAGAGGTGTCGTCCTGGCGCAGCAGGCCCCGACACGCAGCAAGGAGCCAACGCCGTGACATCCCGGGAGCTGTCACCTCTAGGGCCTTGGCTGCATGGGAAGGTATTTCCTTCCGTGCCAGGCTGTCTGCAAGGAGAGAAGGAGCATTTTTAAAGGAACACTTCTTTTAAAAGAACCTGTGTTTGAAGCGGCACCAGGGATAACAGCAAAGAAATCATTTTAAACCCTGGGTGTTTCGCAGGACCGGTCTGCGGGTTATTAAACCTGAGCAGTGCGTTCTGAGTAAAGCAGTAATTCTGTTGCTTGCTGGTGAACTTCAAAGCAGTTCAGGCAAGATAAACAACATGATGAAAACTCATCCTCTTCACATTTTAGTGAAATTTCTTAGCTGACCCTTCTTAACTGAATCAAAGTCCCTAAGCTCTATCTGATGTGTGGAGGGAGCAAGTAATGTGGTGGCTGCCTGTGGTACTCTGTTGTTGTAATTAAATCTCACTGTGTAGTTTGAGTATTGATTTTTTTTTTTTCTCCCTCTCTCTTTTTGAGCCCTTACCTCAACAGAAAGGCTTTGTCCTCATTTCCACAACAGTTTACTTGCCTTGTTGATTGATGTTTTGAAAAGCTGTGCAGTTGTTAGTGGACTGATGTTGCATAGGTTGTTGTTTCACTCATTTTTCCCCTATACACAGATTTTTGTCTTCAAGAAGGATAGTAGGTTTGTGCCTTTTTGAGGCACATCACAATGAAAAGTTGGTGGTGATCTCAGTTGTGCTAAATATTTAAAAATAATACAGATTATCTTTGCTTTGCATGTGCCCATCTTAATTCACACTACCATTCAGTGAGATAGCGATTTGTTTTAGAAGCTCCTGCACCACAGAAACTTACTTGTAATAGTGATATTGCAAAGTCAGTAGACCTTTTGGGCCTTAGTGTCTTTCATGAGCAAAGAAATCCTGCTAGTCGTCTCTCTTCAGATCTCAAATAGCTGCGTGTAGGAAGTGGGGGATCATGAAGTGTGTGGTTTCTCTGCCCAAGAACGGTGTGGGTCAGAGGCACAGGGTTTGTTCAGTGAGATTTGTCATCTGCAGCCTGTAGCATTTCCTGAGCTCAGGAGGTTTCTGTTCTTCAGAAGTCATCTCGGAGCAGCTATGGACACAATTGTGTCTATGCAGCAGTGCATAGTCTGACAAAGCAGCTGTCATGTGCAGCCCAGTTCTGCAGTACTGCTGCTGAGGGCTGAATCTCTCTTTTCAAGCATGATCTGACAAACCTGTGGGGTCAAACCTTTAAACCCTTTTAATGAAGCCGAGGGTCAAAGTTATTTGCTCAAAAAGCATCATGCTGAAACCCATCTTCCTCCACAGAGAGTCCTCTTGCGTGGTTACGAGTAGGTCCTGCTGGCCCTCTGCTAAAGTTTGGGGACTACTCTGCTATCTTCCGAACTCAGATATTTGGGATGTGCACACTGTGTCTTTATCTTTAATAACATTTAAAAATAAATTGTAGGAATCGATGAGAAGGGGTGTTAAGGTCAATGGTGATTCTCACTTATTGCATGTGAGAACTGGATTGCTGGAATCTTGCAGGATTTTAGTGCTTTTTGTACTAGCTGCTTCCAATCTTCAGATTCTGTTGTTGTCTATGGAAGCTTTGGGTAGTTGTTGTTCATGTTTTATGCAGTTCTTTTATTAGGAAAATAGTAGGAAAAAAAGTAAGCTGTGGAACATCAAAATACTTATCTTCTACCTGAAAATATTTGGTAGACAATCACACTGGTGAACTTAAATTTCTTCTTCGTGTCATAACAAAGTGCCCTTTAGAGGGAAAGGGGTGATAGATGTTATGTAGACATGTCATCACAGAGGCATTTTGATCCTCTTTCCCCTACCTGGGTGCATGAAAATAGGTTTCATATTCTTGTTTGAAGCCAAAAGTGCTCCCATAAACAGGGTGTTATCAGGGTGCAAACAAATATTTAAGAAAAATCTGAAGTGCTACTCGAAGCACTCTTAAAAATGTTTTGTGGAACACGTTGGTGAAAAGTCTGACTTCGGAAAGGTATGTGTCCTTCCTGCTGAATGTAGAATTAGGCAATTTGGGATGACTGTATAGAACAATGGCTCCCAACCCTACTGTTTGGCTTGGGCTTCTGTTAAACTGTTTCAATGATAACACGAGCTTTATAGTACCAAACCCTCGTCTGATAGACTGAGTCGTCCAAATTCCACTGCTGTTCAACGCTGCATAAATGAATGGGAGGTAGGCAGTGGTGTGAAGCGTGATGTGCACGTTGAATTCAATAGAGATGTTCAGAGCAGGGTTCTGAGCACTCTGATTAGCAGAATGTATGCGTTTTTTAGGTCTTTCTTACTGATCCTAAACTTGCTTTTTGTTGTTACTTTTGGTGACCTCTTAGAATGGGTTGCAAACCACAGCTTGAAAACTGCAGGTTGGGAGTTTGCTGAGGGTTAGAGAAAGGAGAAGATGAAAACAAACAAAAATACAGTGCTGCATCAAGAAACATAGCAAGCCTTGGGTTAAGTCTAGTGTAGCACTCAGCACTTGGGTATTCATCTTGGTAGTCCCCTTGATCATTTGAGCAAGGTGAATGGTACTAAATTATAGGCTAGGAAAAGCTTTTTACCTTAAATTGAAGCAATTCAATGAATGCAAAAAATACTGCTGTGTTACTTGACATCCAGGGTGTCACTGTATTCACAGATTTTGTTGTCTTGTCACAGGTGTGGGCAAGAGCAGTTTGCTGTTGCGCTTTGCAGATAATACGTTCTCAGGTGAGTATTTAGTTCACTTAAATGAAGCGGTCTAGGGCTGCCCCCTTGATAGGCAAGGAGCAGTTCGGTCACTTTTGCCCCCTGATAGCTGCCCAGGGAGTATGTTATCTTTTTCCCCATGCATCTCGTGGCACAAGCCTGAAGAAGCAGTCTTCACTTGTAAGTGCTAGCTCTGGTACTTAAGCACTGATGTGGTTCCAGAAATAGCTGAGGGTTTTGAGCTTGTGCTGTGCTCTGCGCAGACTTCCCTTTTCTCCCTTGGGATTTAGACTGAATATTGTAGTTAAATCAATCACGTTTGTATTGTAACTGATTTATTAAGAGGGATTTTCTTTGAGTAGACTACATTAAAAATAAGTGATTGCATTAGCGTTTAAGACATAACGGTCTTTTTTTAACAAGTGAAACTTCGTAGTTATTGTCCATTTCTTAAGATGTTTGGATGCTTATTTTTCACAACCAATGTGGTAGACTATGATTAGGATTTTGTAATACTGGAATTTGTTTATTTTTAGTATGGAGGGGGAAAAGTGGCTTGGGAGAAGTGGGGGGGTAGGGCAAGGATGTTAGCCACAGGTAAAACTATGCAGATCACTGATACTGGCACTTTAAAGGATGAATGGATAGGAGGGACCTTCTCTCATGTCCAGAGAGAGCTATTGCCAAAACAGGTTTAAAGTGTGCATGCAAAATAAACAAGGCTTAAGTTCTCCCTTATTCACTCTTCTTTCAGGTAGCTACATTACCACAATTGGAGTTGATTTTAAAATACGGACGGTTGAAATTAATGGAGAGAAAGTGAAGCTACAGATCTGGGACACAGCTGGACAGGAGCGCTTCCGGACCATCACATCAACGTGAGTGTAATGGGGCATTTTGATGTGTAATTTCACATAAGCAAATGTGATTTAGACTTCTTGTCGTCTGAAGCTAAGCTTAAGATATTTTAACCTGACAGTTGATCAGCTGATGGTAACTGTGTTGTCTGTGTAGCTAGTTTTCTCAGCTTTTTTAGAGTAGGTGGGAGTGGTGATACTGTGGTTTAGCTGTGAAGCTAGGATTTCAGATTTCCTAACTCTTCTGTAAATTTCCATGCTGGCTTGGCCTTATTCTTCTGCTTTTCGTTTCCAAATTGTAGAACTGGAATTAATTAATTATTTTTTCATGTATTAGTAAACCTGACTCTAAAGCCTGTTGCAGAAGGTCATCTTGTAATGGGATTTTTGCAAACGTGCAAAGTGCAGATCTTCTCTCTGAGTAGCTTTGAGGTCTTAAATTTGTCTGTCCACAACTTAATGTCGTGGATACGCAACTCCTAGGATAAATGCTTTCTAAAGGCTGCTCTTGTGGGGGTTTTGGTGAAGCCGACGCTCACGTGAAGTTAACCTTTTCCTCGGTTTGAGTTCAGCTTCATGCTCGTTGTGCTCGTGAACTGCATGTGCACAGCTTTTCCTCTTCCTGAAGAAACCACACCCAGAGCTGCAGCCGTGGGAGCTAAGAATAAAATGTGCCTGTAGAGTAATTGCAGTAAATGTGGGGCTGCTCACTGCAGTACTAGGGGAAGAGGAATAAGTAGATTTGGAAATGGAGTCTTTGGTATTTAACAAAAATGAGCAAGAAATCCCCAATAGGTGTTTCAGTTGTCATGACCAGTTGCTCACCCAGCTCCTGTTAAAAGAAGCTAACGTGTCAATTGGACTTTACAATACTAGTACGATTGATCGCTCCTATGGTAGGTCTAAACAGCCAGAAATACGAGAATTGAACCTGATGTGCACACCACCCCTTTCCTCCGCACTTCTATACGGATATTGCTGGATTTCTCCCATTGTTCCTTAAGTGTTTAGCTTGAAAAAACCTGGTCCCCTCTCGTAGGGTTCCTGTGCATGACATCACTTCTTGTTTCAGTGCCGCAGGAAGCGGAGAGGGGGAAGCAGCAAAGCTGTGCTGCAGCTCATATCAGCTGTGCTTATAGGCTGCTCACAGAAGGCCCGAATTAGTGCTGAGTCAGCAACTGGCCTTCCTGTTTTCGGATTCCCGGACACATCCGAGAGCTGTGTTAATGAGCACTGGTTCATGGGGCTGAGAAGCTGATGCCAGCTTGATTAGAAAGCTGTGGTGTCCTGTCCTGAATGGGGAACACCAGGGAAGGAGGCTTTGTTTGTGATCAGGGTTGGGTTTTGTGTACAGTTTTATGGAAATCTTTTCCTTGGTTCCATTACCACTTGCCGTGGAGAAACTGAAAGTCCTCAGTGTCATGAGGTGTTAGCACTTTGCTAGTGCTTTCTCTTGCACAGTTTACAAAGGTGAATATAAATTTTACACTTTGGGGAGTATAAGGTCCCATTTTTTTTCTGCCTTAAAACTGGTAAAGTAGCTACAGAAATTCTCCAGGGCCAAAGAAAAAATAGATTTGAATTTTGTGCAACACGGAGCAGAGGAGTTACCTGTTCTTGGGTGCATCCAAAGTGTTGAGGGAAATGCTTTTGAAACTTAAGTTGTGCTGTAGTGATGGTTCCTCTTACTCCTTGGTGAGCTAGTTATGACTGGCATTCCTGGTTGTTTTCCCAAAGTCACCCTGGATCTAGACATACCATCCATATAAATAACTGATAAAAAGATTTTGGCATTGGAAAGGGTTTTGTCATGTCTTTTTAGTAACAAAAGTCTGATTTGCTTTAACGAAACTGAGTGGCAAATTGACTTGTCCTGTTCTACTTGGGAGAGGGCTTGGCTGGCAGGGTCGTGGGCGGAGGGGCAGTGCCCCATCAACAGTGTGGTGTAGAGCCCAGTAATGACTGTTCACATTGAGGTGAAGAGTATTTTAAAAGGTGCTGCCCGAGTGTTACTGTAGGCCAGGAAGTCCCTTTACAGTTAAAGGTAGTGTGTGTGGATTGAGGCTGAGCCAAGCCTGGCAAATAAGTCTGAAATTAGTACCCATCTGGTAATAGCAGGTTGTATGTGTAGACCTAGAATTGCAAAAGGCTCAAGTGGTATAAATTTAATAGTAGAAAATAGGGAAAATTAGAAGGTTTTAGTTTAGTGTTTTTTTTTTTTTTTTTTTGGTTGGCTACAGCTACAGAAGCTGAAGGTGGAAGAATCAAGCTGTTGAACAGTAATGAACTTGAGGCAAACTCTGCAAAAACTGAGGAAAAATAAACTAGATCAGCACTTGAAACTGAGAACTGTTTTTGCTGTCTCTGACATCTGGAAATGATGGGAATTGGGATGGCTGGTGCCTGGTGAGAGAAGAGGCCAGCGCTCTCTCCAGCTTGGCTGGCTTGGAGCATCGTCCCAACTCGTAAATCTTCAGTTCAGAAAGTGAAAGTCACTGAAAATGTGACTCATAAGGCTCAGCTGCCTTAATGGAAATACTTAAGGTGCACGAGCAACCAATTCCTGGACCCTAATCTGTTCTTGTATGTAGGAGTGTATTTAGGGCTATAGTTTAAGGATATAAGTTTGAAAAAGTAGTTTTCAGGTATTAGCTCAGGGAAAATGATAATAGCAGGACTTTGTGCCATGCATCTATATGGAAATGAACTTTTTTTTTTTTTTTTTTTTTTTTTTTGGTAATAGCTGACACACAGCAATTCTATAATGGTCAAAAGATTAGTCAACTAATCTGTCACAATAGATATGCTAAATTTCCACATGTAAAGCCTTTACATCTGGGTAACGTTTCCAACCATAGTAAAGATAGTTGTCTACTACCACATGTCCAAGAACAAATATATTCAGAAGAAGCTCGGGTTTGATTAACATCCTTCATCTCAATGGGAAACTTCCTTGGACATTCTCTTAATAACTGTTCTACAACTTTTTCTCTCTTCCCCTGTATTTCATTAACATTTATTCCTGAGAGTCGTGCTGACTCTGGGGTTTGTGGGACACACACATGGTTGTCCATAGAGCAGATGACCTGCATCAGTTGCTCAGACCATGAATGAGAGGCTGAGAACAAAAACTTCTCCTTTGGATTTGGATGGAGACTTGCATGGTCTCCCTCTTCCCTAAAGTGTAGATGGGAACATGGGGCGTTTTGCCTTGTATCAAAGGCTCAACTGCCTCTTGATTGCCAAAAGCACAAAGCTTACCACCTACTCCTCCTTGAATGCCAAAGCCCCATCTGTTCTGTAACCACCAAAGCTTACAACTTCTTCTAAAAGCAGTTCTGCACTCCTTCATCCTGAAATTGGAAGTATGGGGTAGGATAAATCAGACTTTTATTTTCTCGGAGTGTCCTGCAGTTGGAGAATCTTTGCTGTATCTGCTAGATCTGAAATGTTATCTAGGACACAAGGTTATATCTAGAAAATGATAGAAAATAGCAAGATGAGATTGGGGGGGGGGGGGAAGAAAGTGTGTATTATGGGGCTTAAGATTAGAGAGCAAGAGGTAATTAATAGCCTTATCTTCAGCCTGCTAACAGGTAATGTCAGACCAAGGGGAAATAGCATTTTATTACAGTTGAGAGGCTGGCAACCTTTCTAGACTGATGTGCCAGACAATTTTCTTTTCCCAAAATAGAAGCAGTGTGTGCTGGGAGCCACCCCTGCCTCCAGCGGAGTTCCTGTCTTGCCCAAAGGAAGGTCTTTCTGCCCGCTGCAGTGCTTTGTGGCAGCAGCTCCTGCAGAGTTTTGACCGCTGTAGCGGTCTGGCCTGCATTGGCCAGTCCACAGCCCTCATCTCCAGCTGCACACGCGGAGTTTCTGCCAACTAATTCTGTTGGGGGGATCTGTGTGTGGAGAACGGCTGTTATTCTACTCCCCAACATGATCTGCTTCACTCAGAGGAAAACCTGGGTGCGTGGGCAGGTTAGTGCTGCAGGGTGCTCCGTTAGGCCCTCTGGTCTGGGTGACCACGAGGCTAGGCTCGGTTTTACGGTGCATGCAGGAGCCTCTGCTGTGTAGGTGGGAGCCAGCGCGCTGCTCTTAAAGGCTAAACCCTGCCTTGACACGTGTAAAGATGGGTGCTGAGGAGGAAGGGGTGGCTCAGCCTGAGGCTTGCTGAATGAGATGCACTTTGTTTGAAATAGTGCTATAGGGGAGCTTGAAGATGAGCAGTTTGTTGCCCACGTGCAGTGAGATCTGGTGTGTCAGTAGGATTTGAGATATTTCCTGCCCTGATGCTCTCGAATACAACTGTTAATCAGAAGTGATGTGTACAGTACACAGTCGTGTCAGGAGAGGATGGGTTATTTTTGCAAAGGGTGGACTCGGGCTCTATAATGCCCTCACTCAAAAGGATCCAGGTTATGAGATAGCAGAGCCTGTAACTAGAACACTTAGTCCTATAGCAAATTTCAGAGCTTTTAAAGGAACTGATAAAAAAAATTATAAAAATTGAAAGTGCAGAGTCTCTAATGGTCAGAGAATAAGCATTTTTTCATCTCAATTCTTGCCAAGCCAAGTAGATGTGCAGCACAGATTGTTGGTAAAACACAGCATAGAAGGATGGGAGCAGCTGCTTTGGGGAGGTTAGGCCTGGAAGGATCCAGGTGAGCAGCAGAAGTGGGTTCTCCTGCTTCGGTGGAGCACATCTAGCACCACAGAAACATTGATAACCAGTGACTGTCACTGCAAAGTGATTGAACTACCACAGCAAGCAGGGATTGTTGTAGAAATCACTTCTTAAATGCAGTGCGAGGGAGAATGCTGCAAGAGGTGCTTATGGTATGAGATCTAGCTCTAAAAATATTGTAACAACATAAGGGATATTCCTTAGCTGTATCTTAGCATTCCTCAAACTGATGCTGGTTATAAGAAAGGGACAGGAAAAGAATAAAGGTACTTGAGATGCAACAGCCTCACTGTCAACTGCCTCAATGACTTGATTGGCCAAGCGGCCTGATTTGTAGTAAAGAAAACATCTGGCAGCCCTGGGAATGCAGTTGAAAACTGAAAAGCTGGAGCTATTTAACCTCATTTAATGCAGGCTACTTGTGGTGCCCATGCTGCCTGCCTTTAAAGGGTTCATGCAGGTGGTAACACTGGAATTTGTTTTCCCTTGTGCTTCAGGATTGCTGACCGTCCCTAAAAGGTGCCAGTTGCCTGAGGCTAATGGGAATAAATGAGTGAAGCTGATTTTTAATTGCTAAAGGTAGCAGAACTCACTAAATGCACATATGGAGTCGATCTGTTGAGTAGGAAGGTGCGATCAGAACACAGTCCTTCAACAAGAGAGATTTTTGTGAGGTTGAGTGTATCTGCAGATCTGCTCACATTTTTGTCTGTAAGTAATTTTTCACAGATAACAAAATTACTGCAGAGCTTGATACAGCCAACATGTCTCTGGCCTCTGACTTTTAGCAAGGAAATGCTGCCTCTCTTCTGGTACTTAGCAAGCTAAAAGCCTTAATGCAGGAACAGTTGTACCGAGTTAAATTAGAGTTTCTCTAGTATCTGGTTTTTAGACAGCAAAAACTAAATTCTGGAAATATAAAGCAGAAGAATGGTGCAAATGTAGTGGTGCTTTTCCTCAGATACTTCCTTCTGCATCATATTTGCAGCTGAAGGATGTCGTGAGCTTGGGCTAGTTTGTTCGCTTCAAAGGGTTAAAGGGTATTTTTTTCAATATTTATTTAGTAAGCCTCACTCTAGGGGCATGTAACAGGTACTGTTATTTTCTTCATGGAACTAAAAGCCTGTGTTCATCTTCTACTTACTTTTTTTTTTCCCTCTCCCTTGTTTTGTTTGACAGCCTGAACAAGGAAGAAGCTGAAACAAATCCTTGAACTTTGAACCTCCTTTTTATGAGCTAAATGATCAGGAAACTCTGTAGGCTTAGAGCAATAACATATGGTCTAGCTCTTGCAAAATAATTCAATGACTCCTAGTGGAAAGCAAGCGGAGGTGCTTGACTGCCTCTGACTTGAGGATTTTTTTAAGGAACTTGTAAAAACTGAAAGCAAGAAGTGCTAAGAAGGTGATAACATAGCTTGAATTCACCCTGGCTGTCGTTTCCTGCTCCCTAGGTATTACAGAGGAACACACGGGGTCATTGTTGTCTACGATGTAACCAGTGCAGAATCTTTTGTGAATGTGAAACGATGGTTGCATGAGATTAATCAGAACTGTGACGATGTCTGCCGGATACTAGGTAAGTTCCTGGACAGAGAGCGAGAGCATCAGCCTCAGTGTGCTGTCCCACCAAAGTGCAGTGCTGATTCTTACTTCTTTTCTCCCTTTTTAGTGGGGAATAAGAATGATGACCCAGAACGAAAAGTGGTAGAGACAGAAGATGCCTATAAATTTGCTGGGCAGATGGAGATTCAATTATTTGAGACCAGCGCCAAAGAAAATATTAATGTGGAAGAGGTAACGTGATATGTGGAACAGAGTGCCTATAAAACTGCGTGGGAATAATAGTTTGGAAAAATAAGAGCAGCTTTAGGGCTGTTGAGGAAGAAAGAAAAAATGCTTTGTATAAACTATGAGCGAGTAGTTAATGTCTCAAGAAGAGACACAGTTGTATTTGGAAGGGGTGCGGAAGGGAAATGAAGGGCACCTCGGTATCTTCTCATTGGCCTTAGAATTCTGACTCATTGGGTGTTTTCTCAGTGAAGTCTAGATGTATGGGGAGGTGCTTCTAGGGGGATGACTCTTCATTCTTGACTTCAGCTGCCAAACTCACCTGCTCTTATTTACCCTTTTTGGAAAGGGCAGAGAGAGGTTACTGATTTTTAGCTTGACAGTACTGGGTTTCAGCTCACTCCGTAGTGGGTTTGGGAGGTTGCTGAAAAATCCAGAAAAACGGATGCTCTTCAGCAACAGTGCGTCCTGGCTCCTAGATGGTCTGAACGTGCTTGTTTCTCTTGCAGATGTTTAATTGCATTACAGAGCTAGTTCTGCGAGCAAAGAAAGAAAACCTAGCAAAGCAGCAACAGCAGCAACAGAACGATGTGGTGAAGCTAACGAAGAACAGTAAACGGAAGAAGCGCTGCTGCTAATGCCCTTTCCCGGCAGCAGAGACTCTGCTCTCAGACAGATCAGCCCCTTCAACTAGACTCGGGCAATTCCACTGGGGCAGGCTTTGGGAGGACTTTCTCAGTTTTGTGCCGTTATTTAAAGATTATTTTTTCTCTGTGTTTTCTATCAAGAGGCGCTGGCACTTCACCACTTCAGTGCCAAGAAGGTATCGGATGGAATCTTGCCCCCCTCCTCTCCTCCCCTGCTCATTCCAGCGCGCCTTGTAGACAAGAAAGGACGTTGCCTACCAAGTGGACTAATTAACCCAAGAGTTTGTACATAATGTATATTGCTTTAACCAGCCTCGCATCCCGTCGTCGCTTTTGGCTTATGCCTTCTTAATGTCAACCAATCATGGACTGCAGAACGCATCTTTTTACAGAAATAGTATCAAGTTCTTCACTCAAGTTTGCCCCAGGCTGGCAGCGACCGCTTCCCGGGGCTTTGGACTTCATTTCTTTTGGGCTTCAGGCTGGCAACTGGTGCCCCTGGGGCTTCCCTTTGAGCTCCAGGCTTTTGCTGGGTCTCGGGCTTTGTTTTCTAGGTACCAGGATTGCAGGTGCTGCTGCTGGAGCCTGGGGTTTCACGTCACCAGCCCCTGGGCTGGCAGCTGCTGCTGCTGGGGCCTTCAGTTTCAGTTTGCCACGGTCCAGGTTTGTGGCTGGGTTGTTGGGTTCTGCTACCTTGTGCTGCAACCCAGCTGTACCTGTGCTCTCCTTTAGTTTGTATCCGGATAATGAAAATTATACCAACCTGCACAAGTGGGAGTTATTTGGATTAAACTTCTTTTTTTCAAAAAACAAAACAAAATTGACCTCTGGTCCTGCCAAGATTCTAAGTGAGAGTCCATTTCTCATGAGAATAAGCAAAACGTGATTCTGCCAAAAAAAAAAAAAAATTCTTCTCCTTATTGCCCTGTCCACAATTAAGAAATCTGAATTTGAATGTGAATTTTGGTAGCAAAACTTTCAGAGAGAAGGTATGACAGTGAAAGCAGCTGTTACCGAGTGATGTCTCAATGTGAAGGCAGGATCATTCCCAGGCTTCTCTTATTGGGAAGGAGGATTGCTGTTTAAGGAAATGGAAAACTTGCTTGCTTGGGTTATGTGGTGGTGAAGGGTCATATATGGGAGCAAACTCTAGTCTCGTTATCCCCAACAGCCCTCGTTGTCCTTTTTGGAAAAAACAAGGGCTTGGTTCATCAGTCCGACTAGGCATGGTTAAAGGTGGGGAGCGTATGTGTGTGTAACTAAAATATCAACTGTCTGGGTTGAAAAGTACATGCTCAGCACCTGAATAATTATGAGAATCACTGGAAAAAATCTTCTTAAAAGGACTAAGAGATATGGAGGAATGGCTTCCTTGAAGACCTTGAAGACGAACGTACACAGTTCCAGTGTGTAGTCCTTTGGAATTGGTGGACCTTAGTTTGGTAGGATGTGTTTCACTGATGTCTCGGCTTTGAATCAGTCCACTTCTCCCCCTTTCTTCCCCAGGAGAGGCTAAATTTTAGTCACTTATTTTGCCTGCGTGTGTTTTTTTTAAAGATACTTATGGGTGTGGTAAAAGCCCCAAGCAAACAATCACATCACCATCAATCACTTCAAAAATTAAAAAAAAAAAGGCAAGCAATGAATGTGTAGCACATTTTTAATCCGTTCAGGTGCTGGGATTATGTATCCAGCTGCCTTCACTCTTTTCTTTCTTCACATATCTGTCCGTGGTAACCCAAGAACCCGAGTGAGCTGGGACGGCATCGCTAGCGTGAGCACTCTTAATAGCAAGAGAGGAGAGCTCCGCTTCTCCCTGGTGTTGGATGCGGACACGGGCAGGGAAGGAGCTCGCTCCATCCTCGGAGCCTTCCTGGTGCAGGGAGCCTGTCCCGTGGCGGCTGCCGCTTCCAGATTCCGGAGTACCTGAGATACATCGGGGTGCTCGTGGCAGCACGTGTGCAGATGTGGGGAGCGCTAATGTCACGCAGGCGTAGGGAAAAATGCCTGAATTGACTGGAATGGATGCAATAAAATGAGGAAATGGTACACCCGGGCCTGGAGTGTCCTCTTATGTGGAAAGGTTGGTCCTCTTTGAGGTCAGGGCCTTGTGGCCACACTTTGAACTTTGCTCATGGAGAGGTCTGGCTTCCTGCCTTGAAGTGGGATATTTCTGGGTTTTCCTTTCTCTTAGAGCTGCCTGGAGAGGAGCAGTTAATCTCCCTGCTCCTGCCACTGACCATCGGATGGGAAGGGGTGGGCACCGCGTCTCTAGTGGTGGTGATGTGAGGTTTCTTAAATGTCGAGCAATGGAATGTCTAACTGGTTTGCTAGGATTATTTCTGTAATGAAAGTTTCTAATTAATGCTTTTTAAATAATTTTAAAAAACTAAAAATAAAGATTACAAGCTGCCAAATCCTTTTTGAGGCTCTGTTTGCTGCCCAGCATCTAAAGGTGGAGGGTGGAAAGCCAGGGAGGAGCCCTTCTGCTCCACAGGGAGGTTTCCTTTTTCCTGGGAGGATGCACTGGCAAGACACAGTAAATGCTTGCATATGTAGACTTGCTCTTGTAGCTCTAAATGAGAATGAGTCAGCAGGCTGGAACTGGTAACTTCTGTTCCTTTATCCTTGCAAGAAAATGAGGGTTTTTTTGCTGCATTTTTTTTATCTTTCTCTCCATATTCATCCATATTTTGGCCAGTAACAGATATAAATGGTTGGAGTTACCTTTCCATTTCCCCATGCCTCAGCAGCTGTAAATACTCCGAACACTTCTCCGGAACCCTCCTTCGGAACACGTGAGAGGGCTCTATAGGCATGAACGTCTTGGGAGGACGAGGGAATAAAGATGCTGTCAAATATTAAGAGAGCACTTTTGTAAGTGAGCTTGTTCTGCAGCCATGCAGAAGTAGCAATGACTTAGAGCTGAGACGGTGTCATAGAAATGGTGTTTTATTCTCAGAACTATTTACAAAAGAAGTAGATCATTGTTTTTACTAAAAATATGCCTTTATAGATTTTTTTTAGAATATGTATTTTATAAAAACCATACACTTATTTACATTAGTGCTACATACAAAAATTACAGCACTGTGATATATGTACATATCTATAGATACATTCTTTCTGCTTGTCCCTGCTGTGTGCTTTTTCCCTCTCAATCCAAGGGAATAGTTGCTGCAGCACCCAGACGCTTCCTTTCCCGGCATTTGGTTGAAACAACCTTGCTTCTTATAGCAGAGTGGGGAGCAGAGAGTCCGTCTGCCGGAGACACCCATCCGGAATCTGCCGTCCTCGGCAGGACAAGCGCGCACGGCTGTGAAGTCCTCTTGCACGCGGCACTGCCCGGGACCTCGCTTCTTGCTGCTCTGTGCAAAACTATCCTGTTGTCTTCTACTGATCAAGCTCGTTTTAAGGGCAAGCTGCTGATCCAGGTTTGTATGAAGATAAAGTGCTAGTGACTTGCCGTTCATTTACACTTGTTTACAGGTCCTTTGCTGAGTTTACCAGAGGGAGACTCTTCCCTCGTCCTCTATTACGCTAGCATAAATGTTTGCCCAAATAGTCACGTTACTTAACTGGGGGAAGGTTCTTGCTAACCTTGATCTTGGCAGGCATCTGCTCTGGGTTTGAGCAGCACTGCGGGTTTAGCTAACGCTAGCTCAGCACAAAGGGTGAATTCATCATGGAGCTGCTGATCTCACCCCTTCAATCTACCTTGGGCTTTTTGGTACCTGGTGGATGACTTTGCTTCTCCCATCTCATTCGCTGGAGCTCATGTTTGCTTTTTGCCGTGCGGGTCCTAAAGTGTCCTCAGTGGAGTGTTTTCTAACCCAGGATTGCAAGGGTGAGCCCAGGCTTCTAGCTGGTACCAATTTCTGAAAATGAGTATTTCAATGACAGTTCAAGATGAAGTAAGTCAGGACCTTGTTAAAACATGTCATGAGACTATGAAGGACTGCACTGGTGAATTAAAAAACAAAGAGACAAAAAAATCCAAACCTAGCTGCTATGTTAAGGCAGTTTCTGTTCCCATTGAGTAGCAGCTCAGCACAAGGAGGTCTCCTTTGGTCTGTTGTCTAGGTCATCAAACCCAATTCCCTTGTATTTCTGGGTTTAGTAGTGCAACTAAGTCTTTAGGAATAGGGGACTAGTTTTAAGAAACCGTACCCAGCTGGCACCTTGGAACACGCTGATTTTCCTCTTGCAATCTTTTCCATCACTGTATTTAAGTAAATAAACTTGCAATGGGGTTAAGGTAGGCCCCTCCTTAACGGAGCAGATATGCTGTGCATTTCAGCTGCCTATTCCTGCAAGTGAGTTGCTTTCCTCCCAGCAAACACGTAGCAGAAGGCACCTTTCTTCATCTCATTCCTGCACGTTCAACTGACTTAAGGCCTTTGCCTTAGGATTGCATCTGTTCATTGCGCAGAGGCCGCCCAGCCGCTGGGCGCATGGTCTGAAGAGAGTTCCCTGGGGTCTGGCAGGTAACTACTGGCAGCAGAACGAAGGGCTGTGAGGACCAAGATGTTCGCAGGGCTCTCCCAAAACAAGCCGTGTTGTTGTCAAAGGGACGTGCAAGACAACTGATCAAGCGGTGCTGGCGTCTGTGAATCCGTGCCTGATGCTATAGGGTGTCTAAGTTTATGGTGATGGGTATGGGCAAAACCCAAGTCCTGACATTAGGAGGGACTTGTTAACTCTTAACAGTAGGGATGCTCTGTTAAGAGCCAAAACACGGGGGAGATGAGGACTTGCTATCCTGAGAGAGCACCTGGGGCACCGCTACGTCCCTCTTCCTCCCTTGCCAGGGTGGCTACACCTAGCCCAGGTGACTACAAGCAGATGACCTCTAGAGGTCCCTTCCGACCTTAAGGATTCTATAATCCTATGATTCTACGAAAGTGGGATTGCTCGGATCCTTGCGTGCAGAAGGAGTGTTTGTATTGAGGTATTACAGGCCCATCCTATGCACTAGACAAGAGGCTGACGTTATTTTATTTAACTTACCTGCCTCATAGAAGGAAGAGTTAGATACCTCATGCTAGCAGAAAGGTTGAGCGGAGGTTAGCAGCTCCATGGAGAATGATGTTTTAACACCGAACTTGCTGTCCTGGGCAGAGCTGACCGGATACCTACCTTCATCTCCTATGGTGATGGTGTAGCTGGTAGCCTCTAGCAGGGCACTGAAACAAATTTGGGCCTGTGAGTAGCATAAGCTGGGAAAATCTGTGCAAATTGCATGATAGCAGCAGTACAGCTCCGAATCTAGTCGGCTTCAGTGTTTTGTGATGAGAGAGACGAGCTGCGAGGTGACATCCAGTGCACAGGGATGATCCTCAGGTACGTATTGCAGGACTTCCAGCACCACTGGGTGCAGGCGCCGAACGCTTCTCCTCATCAATTAAATGCTCATAGTAAAGTGGACTGTGATGATCTGTGGTTAGAAGCAGATACCTAGCTACCTAGCTCCTAGCAGATACTTAGCTACCTATTTGCCAAAAGGGCAAGTAGTAAAATGGCCCACAGGGAGGCAGTGGTCAGTGTGGCTGGTGGGCTATAGCTGATGTTGCTGCACAAGGCAAAGCACAAGCTGAGAGTTCTCCAGAGCCTTGCTGATGCCCTAAGCTGCTTGGACCTCAGTGAGGGTAGATCTCCACCCTCTGAGCATCAAGTGTGCCAGCTCACATGTCAAAGATCTACTGCCATCACTATGGGTAGGCTCTCAACGAGGTGAGCCTATCTAGGTGTCAAACTTTTAGGGGGTCCATCCAGTTAAAATGAGAGATCTCATAGAGAAGTACGTGGCTTGGGGAGCATGTGACTTGCTGAAGCTCTGCAACCAACCTGAGATGGTGGTGGGAGTGCAGGTGCCATGGGACTGAGCATCCACCGCTTCAGTCTGTCAGCTGCTGCAGATGGTCGGTGCCTTGGGAAGGAAATCAGCAATTCATGTGACTTCAGCCTCTAACTCTTCTCTCTGTACCAAGAGGGAGCTGGAGAAGGTCCCAGCGCCAGCAGGCTCACAAGTCCGCTGACCTGCAAGGAGTCTGATCCCTGCTGCGGTGTGAGCAGAGCTGCAAAGACCATCTCAGGCTGGACCCGTCCTAAGGACTCGTCATCCACCATAGAGTAAGACACGCACCATGCTCGGGCTGGCACAGCTCCTCTGTGGGCTGAAGGACACTGTTGTGGCTGGACGGGAGCTTGGTGTAAGGGACTCCTGTGGCTGCTCCTCTCCTTCCCCCTGCGCTCGCTACGACGGCGGCTCTCGGGCCCCTGTGCTGCTCTGTCCTGGGGCCGCTTAGCGTCTTCTCCAGTGCGGCAATGTTTAAGACAACCAGATTATTCTTCACAGCAGAAACTGGGCTGTGTCAAAGCGCCTACAGTTCGCTCTGAATTTTATCATTCTGTTTTTTTTTTTTTTTTTTAAGTTGCTTTTGCTCAGTGACACTGTCACACTGTGACACGCCAGTGCATGTAAACATTTGGTTCAGACCAGGTGTGGTGGAAATAGTGCAGAGTCTTAAGGGTTTCCTTTGCCCCTCTTTTTTTTTTTTCTTTCTTTTTTTTTTTTCTTTTTCCTTTTTTTCCCTAGTGCATCAGAGCTGGGTCCATCAGCGAGCCGGGCCGCAGCCCCCCACTGCCCACCTCGGCGCAGGAACCGTTGGCGAGGCTTCTCCTCAGCGTCTTAATTTTTCTTGAAAAAGGAAAAGAGACGACTCCCTTCTGCCCCGGCGGGCTCGTCCCCCTGCTGCTCCGGCCGGGGCCCGGCGGGGGGACGGGCACCCCGCTTTGTGCCGTAGCCCCTGGAGAAGGAATAGGCGAGCTGGCTCCATTCCTTCGGGTGTTTGTCCATCAGCTGCTGGTCAATGACCCTGTGCATGTCATCCTGCGGCAGAGGGAGAGGAGGCAGCGTTAGCGGCGGGCCGGGCCCGTGCGCGGTGACAGCGGCTGGCATGGGATGGAGGCGGCATGAGGAGCGCGGGGACGGCCGGCAAACGTCCCTATGGGGAGAAGCAGTATCTGCAGGGCTTGGGGTGCCGCGGGGAGCCCTCGGCACCGCGGGCGCTGGAGTCCCCGAGAGAGGTGGTGGCACCTGGGGTTTCATATCTACCTTCAAACCCAGCGTCTCAGCTACAATTGCTCATCACTGAGACTTGCTCAAACTTCCTGCATGCAAA